AGAAGCAATCAAAACAACCAACGACATACTCAACCGAGTGCCTAGCAAGTCAATACCCAAGAAACCTTTGAAAATATGGACCGCCAAAAATCCTAACTTGCGACATCTTCATGTATGGGGTTGCAGGGCTGAAGCTCAAATCTACAACCCTCAGGAGAAGAAGCTTCATCCCGAAATGATTAGCTACTATTTTATTGGCTATCGTACAAGGTTAAAAGGTTTTATATTTTACTGTCCAAATTATAGTACCAAAATTGTTGAGACTTGTTGCGCAAAGTTTATAAAGCATGAGGAGAATGCTACTTAGAATGAAGACTTTATTTTTGAAGAAGAAGGTGATGTAGATGTGATAGAGAATGCTGAACAAAATGTGACATCCATGATTCCCTCAAGTATTACTGTTCAACCACAAGCTACTCAATTTGATAGGAATTGCAAAATCACAAGTTGGAACCTCCTCAATTTGATGAACCAATTGATCAACACCAAGAACAAGCTGTCAAAAATTTTGAACCAGATACTCAACGAAAACTAGTGCGGTCGAGAAGATCTAACAGACAAAGAAAATCTATAGCCAACTAGTCAATGTATACTTACACGAAGTAGATTTCGACATTGGAGATGAAGCTGATCCAACAAGTTTTAAAGAAGCTATAGAGAGCCAAAATTTAGAAAAATGGAGGGAAGCAATGTTGAATGAACTCAAGAGCATTAAGCTTAATCAATTATGGGAACTAGTTGAACCTCACAAGAGCCAGAAATTGGTATGCTCGAAATAGGTGCTTAAAACAAAGAAGGATAAGGATGGAAAGATAGAAAGATTTGAGGCTGGATTGGTGGCAAAATGATTCACTTATAGGGAGGGAATTCACTACACTGAGATGTTTTCTCCAGTCTCCACTTTTTCATGTGCAAAAAATTAAAATTAAAAACAAAATCAGATAATGGGCCCTATTTTTATGAAACACAACTACCCTTGTCTTTTTTTTAATTCTAAAACAAAATAAAACATTGGATTGCCTCTTTGAAGACCCTGTACATGATGGCAAAACCATGCTCAAAATTTTGAACCTAAACAAAGTAAAGTTACAAAAAAAAAAAAAACCGAAATAAAACATTTTAAAAAATCAATTGACACACGCGTGATATATATATAAGGAAACACATACACACACACACACACACACACACACACACATATATATATATAAGGAAACTTCTGAATTTTAGGGAAGTGTTGTAAATGCATGGAATGTGGATGACCACCATAATATCCATTACCTCCATCCTTAATTGCTTTGTAACCTATGCCCTTATTATTGTAATTAGTAGCTATAAATTGTGGGTTAAATACCTCTACTGTAAGCCTATAAATAGGTACTTATCAAAGATGAATATGATATGTTGATACAAGGTCATAGAATAAATTCTCTGTATTTCTCTTCCTCTTATTGCTGTCTACAATTCCCCTTAGTTTTATAACACGTTATCAACACGACTTTGCTCTCGGTATGTTTTCTTTCTCTGAATTTTCATTCTTCTTATTTGAGCTAGAGTCATCACATGGTATAGAGTTTCTTTGTACTCACCATCAGACTTCATCATGCTCGTTTAAGGAAAAAAAATCTTATTCTTATTACACATGAATATAATGCCTTGTTTTTTTTATTTGTTTGTTTATTTAATTTTAAGTATGATCTTAATTATTATGATGAGTTTGTATTATACAAAAGATCAGGGCCTGAAGTTCCTCGATCCTCATCATATAACTAGATTAGAACCTAGAGTTCTTTTGATTGAATCAGAACCTGAAGTTCTTTGATTTCAAATAATTGAGGGCATGAAGTTCCGCGAATTTAAAGAGCACATAAGGACATGAAACTCCTTGATTTTGTATTAATCAAAATCATAATTCTATGAGGCCTACATATGTCAAGAACCCGAATCAGAAGTTTCGAGTGCATATACATCGATTTGAGTATGGCACAACTATTAATTCACATTATTTAGATTTATGTATTTGAACCTGCAGTTTCGAATAGATGTTGATATGAACCTGAAGTTCATAGTTTTTCATGGATCCTAATACTATATATGAACCTAAAGTTCATTACTTATTTGTGCCTATATGAACATTAATTGGTTGGAAATCCAATTCTTAAACTTGTAGTTTTATCTACATATTGAATCCACATTAATATTGGATTATCTTGGAATTTCATAGTCTTTAATTTATTTATTTTATTTCTCGTTTATACCACTTTACTCTTTTTTTTTTAATTTATGTTGGGTTATTGGTTAATTTTGTTTTACAATGGTAATGTTTTGTATTACCGACCCAATATTGACAGCCAGAGGCGTCTATTGGAGAAACTTCCTACTTTCTTTTGTGAGTAGGAAGTTTATGATGCCATGCACCAAAAGTTCATGAGGCTCCAATATTACACAACTATTAAAGCAGTTGAAAATTATGATATCATGAACCAAAAGTTCATTGACCGGATAACTTTTATGTTGTGGCATGACTATCTTGGCAATCCATGTTCCACAATGATACATAAGATTTTTATAAATTTGTAAGGACATCGTTTAAAGACTCAAAATATTGTCTTGTCCAACAAAATATCATTACAAAGAATGCTCACAAATAAAAGCTGTCATAAGATCATCTCAGTCAAAAATTGACTTTGAGCCCTTTTTCTTGAAATAATTCAAAAGGATATTTGTGAGCATATACAAAATTTAATTATGGATCACTTCACCAGTTTTATTGAATGTGCCTACTAAAATGGTTACATATTTGTCTCTTGTCAAGATGCTTACGAGAACTACTCCCATATTATCCAATCCAATATGGTGAGTTTATTTTCCTACATTTTGAGACAATTTTCCCGCCGTTAGGGGGAGAAATGACAGTTCCTGAAGAATGTTGTGAAATAGTGTTGAATCGGTCCGCTTTTGTCTCATCAAGATAATGCATATATAAAGTTATGAATATGCAAACATGGATTAATATTCTCGTATCACAATCCATTAACATGGTGACCATATATATATAATGCATGTCTGGAGCATGACAGAAATATAGGTTCTAAAGATTTAACTCCTCAGAAGTGGAGATTATTTGAAAAATTCAAGCCCTATAAAAAATAACGCCCTATATGAAGTTATGATCCACATATTCTAATTAATTCATCATAAAAGAGATATTTGTCCCATAAGTGACAACATCAGCCCCTGAAGAGGCATTGGTACCCCAAAGCAATGAGATGCTTATAAATTATGCATGCGCATGCACATGAGAATTGTGGGATCACGAATTGATGATACATTTGGTTTATCAGTAGCTACTACAATCATCAAGGGCTATGATTATATTAAATCGCCTTATGAATATCGACAAGTTAAGTGATTGGCCAAAATGGAAATAGACAATTCCATTTATTACTAAATATGAAGTGTGGGATATTGAACCCATAACTCAAACACCAAATTACAAATTTTAACTATGAAGGTTATGAGTTGGTGCTTGTAAAGTGAAATAAGATCACTAATATTACGTAAGGTTTCCTGGTAGAGACATGGTTTTAGTCTCCCATCTCATCATAAATGCATCCACATTTCTATAAGTACAGTTGTTATTTTAACGCCAAACTTATAGCATGTGTTAAATGCATATTTATTATGACTATTTGGTACATGGAAACCTCAAAGCTCATGAAATATTTGAGATATATCAGATGAAGCAACCTCTATATAAAGTATCACCATATTCTTAATTAAGAGTTAACACTAAGAGTTCGAGTATTTTGAATTCAAATTTGAAATTGTTGTAACATATTCTAACTATTAAATTAGTTGTTGATGCTCTTAAAGAGTTCAATCATTTGAAAAGTGAAAAGCAGGTCGAATAGTGTGATAGACGATCATGTATGAAGACAATGTTGCTTGTATTGCTCAAATCAGAGAAGGGTTCATCAAGGGTGACATAGCTTCAGAAAAAAGCCAAGAGATTGGAGTTAAACAAATTCGTTCACAAGATAATTTGGCGAAACTTATTACCAAAGCTTTTTCTGAAGACTAAATTCCAGAAGTTAATGAAAATCAAGGGAAAATATTAATCAGGGGAGATATCAATCAGGGGGAGCATCCCAATTCTACTACGTACAAGACATATTCGCGTTGTACTCTTTTTCCCTTTGACTAGGTTTTTCCTAGTTAGGTTTTAACAAGGCAACATAAGCGCATCCAACACCATATCAATGATCCATAAGAAAGTTTCACTCTTTTTCCCTTCACTTCGATTTTGTCCTACTGGGTTTTTCAAGCAAAGTTTTTAATGAGGGAACTATGCCATTGTATGGTGGACATCCAAGGGGGAATGTTGTAAATGCATGGAATGTGGATGACCACCATAATATCCATTACCTCCATCCTTAATTGCTTTGTAACCTATGCCCTTATTATTGTAATTAGTAGCTATAAATTGTGGGTTAAATACCTCTATTGTAAGCCTATAAATAGGCACTTATCAAAGACGAATATGATATGTTGATACAAGGTCATAGAATAAGTTCTCTGTATTTCTCTTCCTCTTATTGTTGTCTACAATTCCCCTTAGTTTTATAACAGAAAGCATTTTGATATAATTCCATTTATACTGCAAATTCCTTAAAATTTATGGACATACTAATTGCTTACTTGGCGAGAGTGAACTGCAATTGAAAAGGTAGAGCATGTGGACTGCATTCATTATATCTTTTGATGAAAATGGACCTATATCTAAAAAGCCCTTCATTTTATACAATGAAAGAGGGATGGCCTTAAGTGTAGGATTAAACCCTCTCAACAACTGTAACTACAAGTCCCCACAAGCAATACATTAAAATAATAATAATAATAATAATAATAATAATAATAATAATAATAATAATAATAATAATAATAATAATAAAGGACATACAAAGAAAATAATATCATAAAAAAAGATAAATTCCCTTTCTGTTTGTATTCAGAAAAGTTGAAAAAGAATGAAATAGATTGTTTCTACAAATTTCTATACCCAGAGGCTCTGAAGTTGACAACTAGAGGCTAGTCCAGAGACAGAGGTTACAAGTTTGACTCTCCAATTATGGCCTCTCTGTGTGGTTTTATGCACATGATTGAAAATGTGTATTTGTATATTTGGTGAACTATACATTAATGACGGATAGAATTGTGTACCTGATTTCTGGCACCAAAACCAAATTCTAATCCTCCACCAGAGCCTGTTTTTCCTTTTCTTTTTTTCTGTGTTTTTTAATTTCTGCCAGTGTATGTGCAATTTTGTATCTCTCTAGTCTGTCCTGTACTAAAACCTTTGTTGGAACTCGCTTGCGCTTTTTGTTCCATACTTAGATTTGAGTATGTGTTGCTATATTCTAAACTATGCTAGGATTTGGGTTCTTTTTAATTCCTGTAGCTATGCTTAACTCCAGCTTAATTACTGCTGCAGTATGGGGGTTCACAGAACCATCTGCCAAATGATGGTTCTGCTCATGATTGGCTTGTGTTGTCCACAACAGAACCAAGAGCACCACTAGTGTTGCAAGAAAGACCATTGCCGCCCAAACCATCTTAACATATCGCTTCAAAGGTTTGCAGTGTTTGACAAGGATTTCAGAGAAAGCATCCTTCACTGTCTGACATTCTACTAGACTTTCCATTCCCGGGTATGAATTTAGTAGATTTTGTATGGAACTTGTGTAAAGCTCCACCAGTTTGTAATCGCTGTCCGATATGAGCACTCCATTCTCGCAGGTTCCATTGCTGGCATCTGAACAACTAAGTTCCCTCAAGACCTTCAACATTAAACACAGACAAGGATTCAACAGGCATACTGAAATAGTGAATTATTCAAAAAGTAGTAATAAGTTTGAAGTGTGGAAAACATAAGAGCTTGATTAAAATCTTTGAACTTCTTTTTAGCATACCTCTGGGATGTCTCCAATTCGTACTGAATTAGCCGGACAGTTTTCTGGCTGGTAATTGTACTCTGGTGGTTCTGAGAAGGGATTGCAGACATATTCTATACTTTGAGATGATGTTCCTTGTGCTGATGATATGTTTGCATTCACCTGAAGATTTACCAACAGTAAAAATTTAAGAATTACCAGTACTTAGTATGATGTAAGTATAGTATCTAATAATTTGTCACAAGTGTCCTTTTGCAGTTGAACAATTGCTTCTTCAATGCAAAGTTGATCAGTCAGAGCATTGGCCCCTATTATCTGCTTGCCTTTGGTTCTCTGTTACTTTTCATTCTTTAATGACTTAATTCATTTCCTTCTTTCATTTTGATCCCATTATATTTGAGTAAATCATATGCTTGGTTTCAACATTTCATGACTGACAAACTTCATGTCTTAAAATATTTTATGATTAATAACATAAAAAAAGGTCATGAATCTGATGTACCAAATTTTAAGGTTATTGGAAGGGATGAAATGTTTCTCCACAACTTCGAAAAAAGTTATTTCTTTGTTCCTTCGATACCAAAATACACGAATCAATCTTACCACATTAACAAGGCTGTAGATCCCCGCACCAACATCATTTAGGACTGATTTTGCTGAAAGCAATTCGTCACAGGGGAGGATTGAGCTCAAGCTGTTGTTGTTGGGATTCTGTTGGAAATTTTCAAGAGCTGTGCATGTGTCACTTGAAAACCTGAAATAGAATGAGATGTTTCTTTCCAATTAGTACTCTCCAACCTCTTGCCTGGACTGCTTCTTGTTGCTTCATTTATGGAGCCATACTAAATTCTCTTTGAGAATATATTATTACTTCAGGAAAGGAAAAGAAATGGACATACTCTGCTAAGAAGAAATACAGCCCAAAGAATATCCAGCACAAAACAGTTAAGAACCAGCATAGTATAATGAGCCTGCAAGAAAGCAAAAGCATTAGGAAAAATTGCATTTGAATGTTCTCCAGTAATGAATATAAGTATTTTCCATGTTCAAATCAACTTTTAGATTCTACACTTACATGTAAACTAGCCGTTGTAATTTCAAAAATCCAGACACTGCAGCAGGGAGAATACAACTTCAGTGATATTTACAGATGAAATGATTCATGAATTCATGCAATTTACAGATGAAATATTTCAACGTTACTTAAGCTCCATAATGTTCACAGCCACCGATAAAAAATCACACACACTTGCAAACAAATGAACTCACACACCCACCTGACAGAGCAATCACTGCAACCAAGTTCAAGGAAATAGCCACTGTGGTTACTATATACCTGCAGACACAAATATATCATTATTATTATTAACATGCACTGATTCAGATTGGGTTGAAACTTAGGATTTGTGAAGGCTTTGGAATTAAAAGATTACTTACACTATCTTGAGACCCTTGTCAATCAGACGCCTGTTCTTCTTAGCCTGCCTTTCTATATCTGCAGCTCCAGTATCAAGTTTCTGGGATGTGGAGGTGAGGAAGCTTGAAACCACAGTATTTCCAGTTGAATCTAAGTTGTTTCTCATTTCTTTCATTGCTTCTGTTGTGTTGTATATGGTACCTGATGCTTCATCTGCAGTGGTTATGATAATGTTCACCACAGATTTTGCTTGCGAATGAAATCTCGCGTTGCCCCCTAAAACTAATCCGAATGCCACTCTGCATGGATGTTGCTTGTTAGTCTCATAGAATTACAAACATTGAGAAACTTGATGTTCCATTTCAAATAAACAGAATTTGGATATGAAATTTAAGCAAAAGATGGTTAATTTCGGTCTTAAATTGTGCAGAGTTTGAATGACTTACATTGCAAAGAGTGTGAAGAATATGACAAGGAAAATGTGCCACTGCCAGAGGTAACACTGCTTATGACAAAGTTGTCTTTTCTTCAGTTTTCCACTCTTCCTATTTTTACAACAAAGTCTGGTTGCTAAAAGGAAGCATCCATATAAAATTCCACACAAAAGCCACAGCACCCCAAGTGCATATCCATGAACTCCAGTAAATACAGTTGACTGCACAAAACAACACCATCAAAGTCAATTTACTAATTAATTCTGGATTGAGAGAGAGAGAGAGAGAGAGAGAGAGAGAGAGAGAGATTTACACTCCAGTAGTGCTTGTTGGTAAGATTAAATCCTCCTCTGTATTTGTTGAAATTATCTAAAGGATCCACTCTCACAGTGTTATCTGACTGTCTCATGGGCTCTGATGCATTGTTTGCCTGAATCAATTTGCTCTCTGAGAAGAAAATTAAGGAAGTTACTAAGATTCCATTGAATTGTAATTCCTTGCATGGTTTTATCATTGAGTTTCTGTTTCAATTTTTATTCTTCTTCATGTTTGGAAACTTGAAACTTTGAATTTGAAGGGCATATGGAAATTCTGAAATTTTGGAATCATAATAGAACTGTCTTTTGGAATTTCAAAAATTTTGATAATTTTTCCGGTGACCTCTAATCCGGTCTAATCCCATGAAAATCAGCCTCAGTCGAAATTTCGAATGACATTTAGGACGTAATAATTATTACTGTTATGTTTTATATTTATACATTACTTTTCCCTCACTTCTATTGTCTTCCCTTCATTGACTTTTTTTAATAAAAGAAAAAAACTATTTATTCTACCCACCAGAGAAATTTAAAATTGATAATTTTGCTTGCAAAAGTGGTAGGGTTAGAGGGGAAAGAGAGGGCATGGGCTGAGCAAAAGGGTTAAACCACCAAGGCGAGGAGAGATTAGACAAAAACAAATATATTGAAAACTCCTCGAATACAGGGAATCACTTAAGTTATAAGTCTTTTACAAAAATATTGTTTTGTAGAAAATATTGTAGTCAAATCAAATTTTTCTTTTTACCTACCATCATGTTTTTCATTTTTGGCTAGCTAGTCTTGCTTGACTTGCAATAGCTAAGACGGCCAAGGCAGGATTGCCATTAAAAGCAAAAAAACCAAAAAAAGAAGACGACATGCATTAGTTTCTCGTCCTCATCTAGCTTTATTGTAATTTCTAATCCCAACTCCAATTTACTTTTAACTCATTCCAAATGTCAATTCATTATTTTAAACCTGAAACTTTCACCATAACTAACTACTTTGAAAGATATATATTAAAAAAAAGGAAAGAAAAGAAAAGAAAAGAAAGGAACATATGATATCAATGCATGCTCACCTGCTTGGACTTGTGGGGGTGCAAAGTTAATGGATGGAATGGATTGTCCTTGTATTTCTGGTGTCCTCAAGGCTAAAATCACCATCATGGAAACTAGGGTGTACCTGAGAACTATTGAGCTGCCCATCTCTGACCTGCCCAAATAAGTAATAAATCCATAATAAAATCACAATTTTGCTGCAAGCTGAGCAAATTCACCAACATGTATATATATATATTTCTTAAGATATATTGGTCTTACTCACAAAAGTGAAAAAGCTGCACCAATCACACAAATTTAAGGAATTACCAAAACCCAGAATCAACCTAACCAGAGAGAGAGAGAGAGAGAGAGAGAGAGAGAGAGAGAGAGCAATATTACATGGTAAGAGTTCGAAATTAAGTTTTGCATGATTGTAATATATATTTGGTAAGGTGTCCCTTTTTTCTTATTAAATAGAGTAATTACATTTCCTCCAAATTAAATTACATCAGATTTTGTTTCTAATAACAAAACCACAAGCCATTAATTGTGGAGTGGTTTTGTTTAACCACTACAACATGCGCGTGATGATATAAAAAGCTTTACCTTACGTGTAACTCTAATTAAGGGCTTAATATATAACATTGATATTTCATGCATGTTGGAAAGAAATTTGAGCATAAATTTACACCTTAATTAACAATTTACTTTGAGATCAAGAAATATGATCATGAAGTTCATTCAACGATACGAAATTAAGAAAAAGTTTACCAATAATTTTCCCGGAAAAGAGGTTTGTAAACTGGTGTTAGAAACCATTAACGTAGGATAGGACTAAAGGAAATGAATGAGTTTTTTCCGTGAAGTTACCTGAAATTCAGAGATGAAAAGTAAAGGTTTCCCAAAACTTTGAATGAATATGGAAGCTTCTTCTTCAATGGCTTCTTCTTTCCAAATTCATCATTACAGCTTCAACAAATTAACAGAACGTTGATATTTCTCTGATCGGCCAAGTGAATGATCTCTCTCAAAACCATGAGAGTGATCATACAATTTATATGTGTGTAAATATACATCTAGAAACTGGGACTCTTCAAATGCTTGTCTTTCTTGGTTGGTGTCCTCCAAGTCTAAAGAGGCCAAAACCCAAGTCAAGAACCTCAACTGAAACACCTCCAGAATTTCTTATTTGGTACCGGTACCCTCACCATGAAATATCTTTTCTTGATTTTCAAACTGTTTAAAGAAAAGGTTACCCCCACTTTACTTGGTAATTAAAAATAAATTAATTAATTAAAGATAAGAATATATGAAGCTGAACGAAACCGTGTCAAACACTTCTATACACTTGTGTGTATACAGAGAAAGAGAAGGAGACTTGGTTTTTCCAACTTAAGAGAAGGAGATTTGGTTTTTCCAACTTAACCCATTTCTCACATACAACTACTTCATCATATAGCTTTAAAAAAGTACGAACTTGATGGGATTTGGAAATAATAACATGATTTACTTATCATGAATGGAAGAAGTCATGAATTAGGGAACTTAGATAGGGTAATTAAGAAATAGAAATCAGATCAACTACTCCCCTTATTTGATCTGATTCCTGATTTTGAGGATATTTGATTACGGATTTTATTGTGACACTCACATGATTTTTTTTATTCCAATACTCATGTGTTAGTAAGGCAGGAGAAGTGAGGAATAGTAATCGTTCTAATACTCATGTGTTAGCAAATATATAAAAATAATAATAATAATAATAATAATAAAGAATTAAAACCATTCCAATATCCATTCCTAATAAATAAACATAAGTTCCCTACCAAAACCTCTCTCTCAAAAAGTCAAAAAACAACAAATGTGGTTCTGGTCAAGTTAAAGACTTTCTGGTCATGGGCCTCACGGCCATATTCGTCACTTGCATAATTCTTCTGTTTCCATTTCCATTCTTGCGTATAATCAAACCTAAGTTCTAAAACGGTCAAAGCTCATGACCGCTACTTCATTTATTCATTCAAAAGGAAACCCAAAAGCATGATAAAGGTAAGGGAAAAGAAAAACCAAACGATGGCTCTCTCTCTCTCTCTCTCTCTCTCTCTCTCTCTCTCTCTTCTTTCTTCCTTTTATTTATATCTAACAAATGGAAAGTCAAAAAAACACAATAAATAAAGAAAAAGAAGCTGCCCGCCTACAATTGTGGATGTTCTTTCATTGTGTTAAATGGATGAACATTGATGTTGATGTATAGACTAAGTTGCTGGGCAACTACCTCATGCACTACGCAGCAAAGATGTGACATGTGCATGCACTTTGGAAGTTGATCCTTCCTTGATAGGGGTAGGACTGTTGTAGATAAAATAGTACATGGCCTATAGGCCTACTCCTAATCGGTATACCTTCATAAATAATGGGCTAAAAAATGTGGCAAAACTTTAAGGTTTGTGTTTTTTGGGTGGTCAAATTTTTTTTTATTTTTATAGAAAAAATATAGATTTCATTTCTATAGAAAGTGAAAACATTTGGCATGTTTTGGGTGACCCCGTTAAAACCTTCTCAGAAAAAATCACATAGGAAAAATTTCAGAGTGAAAAAGAATACCACACATGCCAGAGTATAAAACCCATTACCAGTCTTCCCCATATACCTCAATAAGGTGGTCTCCAGTCTAGCGTTTTACAATCCTCAATTAAACAATCTAGAGGGGACATATCAGCTTGAACTTGTTGCACTAAGTGAAGCACTCCTTGAGAATCCGCTTCAATATGGCACACCAGATCTGACCACTTGGCAGCAAAGAATAAGCCTTCTCTTAGTGCATGTTGGAGACACCATGGCACTATCAACTTGCAGGCAAGAAAAGAGCTTTCATAGTGTCGAGCCAACAAACCAACCCCACCAAGACCTGATGCGACGTGAATAACTCGATCCACATTGCTTTTTATAGCCCCGAACGGCGGCCGCTGCCATTTAGCTTTGACATGTGGAATATAGCACTTGGGAGGGTGGTCACATGTTATAATAAAGTTAAAGTGCACGCATGAACATGTGTGTATGTAGGTGTAAATTGGCTCGATGTAGCTAGAGTTTGTATAAAACTCGGCTCGTAGAAACAAGACTGATTTTTGGTATATTCGACTCGAAACCTTGTGAGCTGCTCGTCTATCACCAGATAGATGGATTTAGGCTCGAGCTCTACTCGTTTATTCATGACGTTTGAGGGTTGATGAAGATTACTTGCGAAAAGTTTGCATGGAATGAAAGACCTAGATAAGCACAAAGCAATTATAGTAGTCAAAACAAAAGCTAAAAGCATTACGTCAATTTTTTTTTCTTTTTTGTACGTAGTTTATGTTCGCTCGGTATTTTCTTAGTGTATTTTCTATTAATTCGTAATTTTTATTCTTCCTTATTTTTTTGGGGTCAAAATTAGGAAGGAGAGAGGAAACTCACAAACACGGATATCATAGGGGCTTCAACCCATAGCCACTTGGGAACACACTAAAGCTCTGAGCTAATCCAACTAATACCCCATTGGTCATTTTTTTCTTTCTTTATGATTCAATATTTAAACTCCGTCAAGCTTGAATATTATTATAAAAATGGACCAGCTTATTTATACAAGTTTGTGATTGGGCATTTTCCAATGTTGTCTGAAGCAGGAAATCATTTCCATGGAATTAAATTAACCAACATGTAAGTAGGGTATTTTGAATATTCCTCCCATTCAACTTCTCATATTGTTGCTATCGGTGCAATTGGGGATACATGAAACACAAGATGTATTTAGTGGGAGTTCAAAACGATGAATTTGTAAATACCAGAGTGTTGGCAACATGGTTGGAGACGCATGAACACATAGTCGCCAATCTAAAATTCTATCAGCAACATATAACTTCATCCTATTTTGGGTCACTTGAAAGTTTGATACGAGTGCAAGCAACTTATCATACAGAACTTGAAGATTTCTCTGCCATGCCTTGTTGCTGGTACGATTTCCAATGTTCATCCCAACAGTGATTTTTGTCAAGTTCTGCTCGTTCAACACGGCAATTCGTCGGTTGGAACCAAGCCCAACCGCTTCTAATTCATTCAATTTATTATGTTCTTGGTATTCACCGATTTCACTCAAAAGCTATCACTACTAGCTGTTTACTAGTGATGTGTGCTATCTACAATAGTAAGTAACCCACTTATACAAATGTCTTCTGGTTATATGCTACCAGATGTAAAATAAGTCCACATTTTGATTGTTTCTCTCATTTCTGCACCCTAAATCGCTCTTAAGCTTTGTAAGGACCATTAGCAACACTGGATGACAGTAAAATTGTATAGCTACAGAATAGATTTGATATAGCAATGCAGCAACAACCATATGTTTTACTTGATCATTAGCTGCCTGCGCCGGAAGATAAAAGCACGACACTTGTGACGAGGGATACAAAGAAAAATACAGGAAATACATGAAATCAAGTAATTATGATTACTCTTTCATTCCCCAATACATATAAAAAATAACAGAAAGAATTTTATTTCCTACTTTCAACAGGGCAGCTAAGTCATGCCTTAGCCTAGCTATGCAAAGGAAAAAATTAAACCAAGCATGAAATACTAAAACATAAGGGTAAAAGAAAAACTGACATCTGCATAAACAATTAGATCCCCTGCAGTTTTTGAGATGAGAAAGGTGGGTCAACTCCAATTTTGTTGTCTGGAAGTCAGGATTTGGTTTGAGAAATTCCAGCTGCATTGGGAGGCTGGATGCTGGTTTGAGTACCGGTCAGAAGAAGCCCATTTGAAAACAAAGACCAAAATACGGAAGGCAGATCATGATTGCATCTGATGGGGTGGGATGCCCACATGGGTTGCTAGCTCCTCATTCACTTTCACTGGAAGCGGTGGCATCTGCTTCATTACGTCTGGCATGTCATTCAAGCTGAGAGAAATTTGGAAGTTAAATGGATGAATTTATATGTAAATGTAATAAGTCAGCACACATCAATGTTCATATTTTTAACAGAAAATGAGATCAGTGGAGGCATTTTCTACTCTTTTGCACAACACAGATAAAGTCAGCAATTGTCGCTGGGGAAGTCTTGGAAACAATGCAATGACACAAGTTTAGTAACTGAACATTCAAGAATTCACGTTGTACACTCGAACCAATCGTAAACTGCATTAGTAATGTTGATCAGATGGAGCAATCATTTTAATCTATAAAGAATTTGTGAAGGTTAATGCAAATAGTTCAAAATGATTAAAAAAACAACTAGCTGATCATGGGGATTTTGAGAACTTGTGCATTTGTAGACCAAGGTTCAATAATCAAGGTCATTTTGATACAGCCTACATACATAATGGCAAAGGTCAAACTGATGTAAATCCAGGGGACAAGTGCCCATCATTGACAAGATAAATAAAGTCATGAATGTCAAACATGACAATCCTCATATTTCTTCTTCTCTTTTGTTAATGAGCTCTGAATTCATTAATTTAGGAAACAGGTGGCTTACTAAGCTAGTAGAAAGAACAACAGTGGCAACAAACATAGGCATGTCATATTGTCAATTTCTGTTCTTACAACAGAAAATACATAAATATAAAATATGTGATTTGTGTGCACATGGAAAGAATGCAAGGGAAACAAAAAAGAATAATAAAAAACCATGCAATTGCAAAGGAAAAGGAAATGCGTCAAGTGATCCAAATTTCAACTTATAATGACAGAAGTTTATATAAACAAAGTTCATAGCATACTCATTCATAATTTTGAGAATGTTATCTCGAGTTTGGCAGAAGAGGTTGATGTTCTCCTGTATCTGAAAAAACAGATGGACAAAATAACTCATTTCAATTACAAAAGCGTCAAGAATGTATCTGAGAGGGCATTATTGCCAAGACTATATATCATTCTTTAGCTCAAGTCATTCCTTCAAATTTATATAAACAAGTTGTTCATAAATACCATTAACATAAAGAAACACCGACTGATTTTAAAGTAAACAATGGCTACCCATAGCGGAAACTTTTTGTTATGGTGGAGTGTCATTAATTGAAGCTGAATGTAAAGTATATTCGTAAATATCCATTAAAAAATACGTGCATTATCTGCATTAAAAATTGCAGAAATGGTCGGATAGCATTTTAAAGAGAAAGACATAAAGTGATCCTCTGATTCATCAACCAGATGACTGAGCCATCCATTAGAAACAATTGCAA